CACAGAAGAAGATTGATTCATCAGTTTCTAGATATTTCAAAGTCTCTTTGGGGTAAGCTTAGAATAATGTACCACCAGTATGCTAAGGCTATTCTTAAATTAGCTGTTCCCTTCTTTGTTAATTCTCTGTACCCCCCCCCCCAACAATCACCATTACAGGGCTTGGTGGGTGGAGAGGAGAGAATATTCTAACTATGTTTACAAATCCAGACAGAATCCCAATGCAGAGAATATGGAGGGGATTTTTAAAATGCAGGGAAAAAAACCATTTAAAAATTAATCATTTTATCTTCCTTCTTTGCCTTAATACATGCACATGTGTGCACGTGCCACACACACACACACACACACACACACACACACACACACTAATATATCCTAACCACTCATCAATTCCTTTATATTTGGGTTAGATTATTTTATTAGCTAACCCTATCACTGACAACTTGAGACAACTCCAACAGAATGGGAGAGGAGCTTATCGATAATATTCAAAGCTCAAAATCCACTTCCAGATCACTGGATCAAGAACTGGAAGAGACCTTATGGGTAGTCGGGTCCAGCCTTCCTTCCCATTTAAAGCTGAGGATACTGATGCCCAGAAAGGTGAGATGACTTCCCTGAAGTCACACTGAAGCTGAGTCACAAGGAACTCAGGATTTGCCCACGTTTGTGCACCTATACAGCATCATTCCCCGGGCCATGAAGTCTGACTGCTACCTTAACACTGACTGCAGATAGCTGAGAGAATTCATTTGAAAGGGTCCTGCAGTCTCTATATGGGGGGAAATGAGGCTATTTATGAGTTTGCTGAATACTGACCATTACATATCATTGGGAAGTTGGCTAAAAAAGCTCATAGAGACCTTCCCCTGCCCCTGAAAATGGCACGAAACTATCTCATCTAGTGGACTAGAATTTTCTAATAGAGATGATATACCCACACAATACGAAGCATACAGTCTTCACTACCATCATTGCACTATTATATGGAGGTGGCCCTGTGTTCTCCATTGCTAGCTACTTCAGCTGTCTGCAAGTTATGGCAGGTCCTTTCAAGTTTCTGGGATGGGCCTGAAAAAGGGCTACACGTAGCTACTCTGAGCACCATAGATAAGCTTGGAGAGGCTCATCCATCACGAGAAGGTTGGCCGTCAGATGAGAAATTTTTTTCAGTCCTCATGAAAATCATCTACTAAGGTTAAGAGTTGTACCAGGAGACAGATGGTAAGGGGATATACCAGTGAAATACCAGATTCTTGAAGTCTTGAAGTGTAAGTTCAATGGTGCCTGCTTGCCATGATTTGTTGTGTCTTACTTTTAAGTCATTTCTCTTGGAACTCTGTTTACGAGGTATTTATTTTGTATTTGCTCATTGAATTCTAGCTGCCTCAATTTTCCCATATGATTGTCATCTTTTAAAGAGAGAAGCTTTCTGAATAAAACTGGGTTTTTTTCCTAGTCTTTTCTGATGAAATGTCCAGGATTACATTTTGTTAGTTTCCCCTATGTCTTTAATGTGCGTTCCCATACTTTAGAATCATTTGGGCTGCTGTCACAGTCTCATATACCAATAGTTTTCAGTCCTAATTTCGAGGGGACCTAGCCCAAGTATTTTCTCTTTTTCTCTGTGAAGAATAAATGATCAAGGGTCAAGTTTCTTGTTTCGTTTTCTCTGTTGTCAGGCCCTTGGTTTTGGTGTGTTGCTTCTCATAAATGGTCCACTAGGTGACAGCATGAAGAACCCTGGTAGAATGACTTGTATTTTATTGCCTGAGAAATGGCAGCTCTCCAGCCATTATGACTGCACGCACCCAGGTTGAGGTAGTAGGTTGTATAGTTCAGAATTACATCAAGGGAGATAACTGTACAGCCTCCTAGCTTTCCTTGGGTCTTGCACAAAACACCATGGTGAGAATGATCATGATTTTTCCAGGCCTTTCCCCCTAGGAAAGCCCATTCAAGGTAAGATCTGCTATAGTTCTTCTTTTTTTTGCTATGTTAGAATTCAAGTTATTTATTGATTTTTGCCCCCATGCCATATCTTCATGTTATGTGGATTTGTTTTTTTCCTTTTCTTTTGTTTTGCTTTACTTTTTAAGCAAAAGAAGAGTGAGACCGATTCATAATTCTCCAGTATCTAATATCTAGAAGTTTGTAACATGGAAAGCAATTGTTTACTTATGTCCTACGAAGCCCTCCAAATTGTGGGGAGAACAGTGATGTGGAATTGCTGTATGAGAGTTTAGGCTAAATAAGCTGCATGCTGAGTAACCATTTTCCTATGTCTTATAAATTCTTCAACTTAAACATATGTAAAAAAATTTATATATATATATAATATTATATATATATATATGACTGGATTGGTATTGTTGAGGACAATCACTATAATAGAATATAGACAAATGTAAGCTTCTTCAGGGCAGGAATCATTTCATTTTTATCTTGGTATCACCAGCACCTAGCACAGTGCTTTGGTACAAAGTCATCTCTGAAAAAATGTGTTGAATTGAACATAACTGATCAGAGATCTAAATGTAGAATGGCCCTTACAGGCCCTCTAGCTCAGTCCTCTCATTTGACATATAAAAGTTCAACATCCAACTGTAAATGTGTGTTTTGTCTGCCTTAGGACGAACTCATCTATCACATAGACAGTAAGTCAATCCCACTGTATTCAAGTAGCCTTTACAGACATAGTGTTAGAAGAGAACCTGAAGAGGTCATCAAATCCATTCTTCTGCCTCTAGGAAATCCAAGACCCAACCCATAAGAACAAGAATGGTTATCTTTTATCTATGTCTCTTGGTGCTACCTTAAAGGAAATACTAGGTCCCTGTGTCATCATTGTGATTCTGGGCTTAAATATTTTCATAGTGAGTCATAGCAATTGTTACATTCCTAAGCGGTCAGTAATACTAGCTCCAGTTTGAAGATAAGGCACAAAGAGGTTAAGTGACTTGCTCTCAGGCCACATGGCAAATTGACGATGGAGCCAGGAGGAGGACCTGGAGTCCCATCCTTTGTCGTCTTTTCCTGGTCTTTCCACTTCCTTTTAACAACGTAGTGGCTATGTCCTTGCCCTAGCTGAATGCTGTCATTATTCTATCATGCTTTATTTTGAGTTGTGTGGAAAAGGCTTACTACCTGTGTTTGTGCTGCATGAGAGTTTGTATAATAAACATCTGCAGCCACTTGACATCTAAGGACCTACTTAATATTGTTTATGCAACATTTCTGAAGTTAAAAAAAATTTTTTTTATACAAGTTGAGCTTTTATGTGCTACAAGGAAGCCTTCTACATAGTAACCAAGGCTTGGGAGCAGACACACTGATCCAGTATCTTCCTTCATTGATTGCCCTTAGGGCTAGTCTACTCTGAGGGAAAAACATATTCATTATGGCATTTCAACTTCTGTAGCATTAGGTATTTACAGATGTCACAAAGCTGGGAGGGACAGCAAACATTGTAGATGAGTCAGTAATCAAATGGACCTTAGCAGGCTAGAACATTAGGCCAAATCTAATGAGATTTCGTAGGGTTAAATGTAAAGTGTTGTATTTGTCTGCAAAACAATGCAACAAGTATAAGATGGTGGAGGCATGGATAAAAAAGCTGTTTTCTGAGAAAAGATCTAGGGGTCTATAAGTCAGCAGTCTGATATGGCAAGCCAAAAAGTGGTAATGTAATCTCGGGCTGCATTGAAAGTCACAGCTTCCTAAAATAGGAAAGTCCCTTTGTACTCGATCTTCATCAGACTGTATCTGGAGTATGGTATTCAGTCATAGGTGCCGTGGTTTGTTTAGGAAGGACATTGATTTGCTAGAGAGTATCCAGAGAAGGGAAATCAGAATGGTGAAAGACCTTCTGTCCATGGCATATGAGCATCAATTGAATGAACTAGAGACAGCCCAGAGAAGGAAGGGTTCAGGGTAGGTTATGATAGTGGTCTTCAAGTATGTGGTGGAAGGACTAGACTCGTTCCATGTAGACCTAGGGGACCAAACCAGGAACAATGGATGTGGAAGTTACAAAGAGGAAGTTTAGACTTGATGTCAGGAAAAAAGGGTCCTACTAATTAGAGCTTCCTAACAACTAAAGTGAAATGGACCGTTTAGAGAGGTAGTGGATTTCCTTTCCTTGGTGGTCTTTAAGCAGAGGCTGACTGAGTCCTAGTCAGGTATGGTATAGTGGGGAATTATTTTTGTTTGTGGATTGACTAGATGCTTACTAATCCCTTACAGCTCTCCAATTCTGTGATTCTGTATAAGGCTATATCTAAAAGAGCTTAACTAGTGCCAGTTTTTAGGTGCAGAAGGCTTGAGTGTGCCCAGAATCATGGAAGCCAAATACCCCATGGTAGAACAAAAGGTTTTAGGAGCTTCAAGGAAAATGAAAACTATTGGGGGCAAGTTTGGAGACTTAATAAAAATGTAATACTTCTCTCCAAAATTATTGTTTTGCTTGTCTTTGATATATATATATATATATATATATATATATATATATGTTGCCTTACTTCCAAGTAACATTCTACTCTTCATTGAGTTTTATAGAACTGACAGCTATTCTCAGCCCACAAATCCCTAACTTCCCATGGGTATTCCCATTGAGCATAACCAGGGACTTGAAGATTGTTGCTAGAAGTTAAGGACAAAAAGAAAGAATATAACAATTATATGGGAGAATGTTCAGCATTGTAGAGGAAGCTGAGCATTTGAGTTGCTACTCTATGTCAGGGGCGATTCAGGGATACGTTCTATTCAGTGAATGCACTTTTGTCCAGCCTTTCTACTCTGGTCTCAGTGTGTATCTCTCTCTCTCTCTCTCTCTCTCTCTCTCTCTCTCTCTCTCTCTCTCTCCTCCCTCTCTCTCTCTCTCTCTCTCAGCTTATTTTAGGCTACTTGATTTCAGGCCACTGTGATCTTGTTCATTTGGCTTGGTGGCAAAGATCTTTCCGATCAATATCTGGTAACTCTCTGTCCCCCTCCTACAGTGCAGAAGTATGAGCTTCCCAAGAAGAGATTCTTGTGGGTGACTGATAGAATCAGTTCTCTTCTCCTTGCTGACCTGCCACAGTGTCTGCCCTGAGCCTTCTGATGTCTCCATGGAGAAATGGGTGAGCCCAACTTTATGGTAGTTCATCTAAAATATGTGTTTCTAAATATATTTAGTGTGTGGTGAGACTTCCAATACACCATGGCCACCAGCAGCAGCCTTGTGTACCATACTTTCTCAAGCCATGAAAGATGCTTTCTCTTTCTGAGTAGGACCAATACTTTGTAGCATTTAACTGCCTCCTTTTCCAGGGGTTGGTTGGACTTCATGGTGTTATCAAAAGTATCTCGTAATATAAATAGCTGCCTCTGAACTTTAAGATATTTAATAGTTTATGCTTAAGGTGGGAGAGGGTCATAGAGACGTCTTTAATCATAGGGAATTTACATAGTATGCATGTGATGTTCTTTCCAATATCTCAGAGTTCTTTTACTGCCATAAAATACCAAGATGCCATGCTGTGATTGTTGCATTTTAGTACTAGGGGATTGTAAATATTGAACCTTATCCTACAAACTATAGGATTATATTACATTCCTGTAAGTACATTACATTACATTTCAATAAACTTTCATAACCTTTAGGATTATGGAACTCATTTCCCCCTAGACATTTTGTTATACTAGAGGGAACATTGGACTAGATGTCAGGAGGCTTTGGAATCTTCTCCTCACTCATGCATAAGCTACTTGTGTGACCTTGGGAAAGTCATTTAACCTCTTTATTTTTTTCATCTGTAACCTAAGAGTCAGACTAAATGATATTTAAGGTCCCTTCCAGATCTTGAATTCCATTATTGTAGAATGTTAAATCTTGCTGATATGCACTGCATTCTATCCCTGCCTCAGTTTAACCTGGAAAATGAAAAGGAGAGTCTGCCTGCACATTGGCAATGTGAGTAGATGTCACTTTCATACTGTTCCATTTGGAAAATAAGTGGCAGTGTGCAAAATGGAATCCCCCCAAACATTTCTAGTATTGAAGGATCTATTGGGACAAGGGGAAAAGAAATGATTTATAGTTTTCATGGCTTGCAAAAATCCCAGAAAAATATAGTAGTAAAGAAAAGGCTTAAGGTGTCTGACTTTGAACAGGGCGATGCTAAGGTGCAGTATGTGATTTTCCAGTGTGGAAAGTCTCAGTGTTGAATAGAGTTGTGTCAAATTGCCTACCATCCTCCACCTCTCCTCTGGTTCTTTCCTTCTTGCTCTTCTTGAGTAAAAATCATTCTCTTCATCCTCTACCACCAATTGCAATATGGGACACATGAGAGTTTCAGTGTACCTTCTCAAACCTTTTACATCAGCCACAGAACCCCTGCTGTTCTGTGCTAATGTGAAATGTAGTAACGTTTAGCATCAAGACATCTCCAAGTCAAGAGGTTAACGGAAAACACATCTCCCATTGTGTTTTCACAGCTCTGATACCATTAATGGCGCAAACACCATGGAGACAAATAGATCTCTCTTTATTCAGGAGGCTTTGAATGAAGAAAAAATATATATTACATCTTCACAACACGAGTGCCTTTTCTATATGGCACATTAAGGAAGGATGGAGGGGAGAGGTCACATAACATCGAGTTTGATATGGCCAAAGCCTTGTCTAGAGGTATAATTCTATTTCCCACCATTTTCTTTCTGTTGCTGTAATGATGAAGCACTTTCTTTGGTCTTTTAATGCATGTTTCCAATCCCAGCTAAGAAAATGAGACTTATCCTTTCAAAGTATAAATGCAGGGGAAGAAAATTCTTTTGATACTTTAGTGGAAGACTTAAGGTAGTGTTCCCTACTCTGTGACCCAGAAGAGATTGCTGATGCCCCTTTCTGCCTCCTTTTTCCTCTGCCAGCCTCGCTTTTTTCTGTTGTTAGCTTTAGGTATACGGGATCTAGGTCAATGACCGTGGATTGGTGGAAGGACAGGAAGAAATCAAGAGATGGTAACCTTTTACAGGGACAGCAATGTTTTTTTTTACTTCAGAATAGACCACATGGCCCATGGAACTATATTCACATAATAGTAATAGTAATAATTGCAGACATTTACATAACATGTATTATGTGCCAGGTACCCTGCTAAGTGCTTTACAAATATTATCTCACTTGATCCTCATAACAACCCTGGGAAGCAGGTGCTATTATTATCATTCCCACTTTACAAATGAGGAAACTGAGGCAGACAGAGGTTAAATGACTTGCCTAGGATCAGCTAGTCATTGTCTGAGGCCAAATTTGAATTCAGATCTTCCTGACTCCAGGCCAAGTGCTCTATCCATTGTGCCCCTGAGCTGCCTTGAACATGCCTCTTACATGATGGGTAAATGCACTTGTGGCCCTATTATTTCATACACTTGACTACATCCCTCAGGAAAATGTTAATCAAGACTATTTAAGGTCACTAGCATTACCTATTTGTCTGCTAGGCCATCATGAACAGAGCTAAACTTAGAATACTCACTTTCCTCAGTCACAGATAAGCACATTAGTCACTGGACCTTGTCTCTTTGTGGTGCCAATTCAGGACCAAAAAAAAAAAATCCATTCTTGGAGCCTAAATGGCCTTGCTTGACTGTCTGCACAGCCTGCATCCACTGAGTGATTGCCAATTCTTCTCTATGTAGTATAGACACTGAGGTTTTCTTGGCCTCTCATTGTTAATAAATTCAAAGTCTCAGACAAGCCTGATTATGGGCAGTGATGTGTCCTCCTCCTACAGGCAGGCCACTGAGCTGATGTCTGAGGATGAGAACTTTATCCTCTGGATACATCTCCTTTGTATTTATTCAGACTATCCTGAGGCCCAGAGGCATCTGTCCCCTAGCTATTGATCCCGTGACAACTAATGTAGCCAAATCCACACACCAAAGTTCATCAGGAAGAGGCACAGAAGGGAAAGGAATGCCAGAATGACTCATTGTTGAATGAATAAAGGGCCCAAGTGTTCTGCTATTGTCATTTGTAAATTTGTATAAAATGTATAGAATTCATGTCATAACTGGAATTCTGACCTAGGCTGGTTCATGCCCAGTGGTGAGTGTGCAGCTTTAGAGCAATCCCAAAATACTTGTTCTGTGCTGACGTTAACCATCAACCTCAAAAATAAATAGCATTTTCATGATGTGTTTTGCAGGCCCATGGAGGGTTTTATCATCTTTAAACTATTTGTAGCTTGTAAACTATTGAGGTCTGAAGTGTTGCTGATGTCTGAAACCAGAATTAAAAATAAACGGATGTTAACAAAAACCTTACATGTTCCCTAAAACCAGGCGGATAGGTTTACTTCGCACGTGTAGGCAATGTAAAATAAACTTTTTTACCTTGACATGGGATGAGGGTATCTCGTTAATCCAGTTTTTCAGTCACTGTTACTTTACTGAGAGTCAGCTTGACGCAGTAATTGAAAATCCATTCATGGAATCAGGAATACTTGGGTCCAAGGTTTGCCTCTGACCCATACTTGACTGATGTGCTGGAGCAAATCACTTAATCCTAAAACCACAAGAAACAGACAGGTTGCTCATCTGGGTCAATGGCAGGAGCTCCTGGTACAGGAGTTCTCTATCCTGTGAAAGTATAGGCACAGATAGAAACTCTATTTGCTATGAATGAAATTCCAATTTTCTTTAAAAACAATAAATTTTTGGTAGCTTTTGGTTTTACATCGCCCACATTTCCCAATGCGTCCCTCCCCACTGCCCTTCTGAGAGGAAACAGTTCAGCCAAACTAATTGTCACTTCAAAGAAAAGGCTAACATTATCTTCTAGAGGAGGCAGCCATACTCCATGGCCCATCAGCAACTGGCAGAACCAGATTAAAATATAATTGGGAAATTATTTCACAAGATAAAGAAAAATATAGGAGAACATAGTTTTATTTTTTTATACTTTATTTTACCATTGAGTTTTAAAGTTTTTGAGTTCCAAAATCTCTCCCTCCCTGCGGCCCTTCCCCTACCCATTGAGAAGGCAAGCAATATGATAGCAAATATGTGGAGCATAGATAATGTTAATATGTGGTTTTCTAAGTCAGTATATGGCCTGCAGGAATCCTTATGTACAGTGGCCTCTATCACTGGTCTACAAGACTTCTACACCCATAGAATCCCACCTCTGCAAAGCAGGGTGGAAGGTACCTTTGTACACCTCTTCTTTGAAGCAAAATTTGGTCATGATAATCATTATAATTTCACAAAATTCACTTTTGGTTGATGCATTGTTTTTATTTTCATTTCTATTGTTGTAGTAATAGTGTATTTTGTTTCTTTGGTTCTGTTTACTTCATTTTGCCTCAGTTTATATAAGTCTTCCCACACTTCTCTGTATTCATCATATTTGTTGTTTCTTATAGCATAGGAATATTCCATTAAATTCATGTACCAAAATATTTGGATATATATGGGTCCTTTCTTTTTATCCTTGACCTTTTTTGGAGTATATATGCCTAACAATGGAATCTCTGAGGCATATCCTTTTTCCCCAATTGCATTAATTTTGCTAATGCAAAAGCTTTTCAATTTTACGTAATCAAAGTTCTTTTTACCTTTAATCTCTGTACCTTTTCTGATTGTAAATTCACCATCCCCACCCCCAACCCCAGCTATAACTACAAAAGGTACCTGATCTGGTTCTCTTCTAATTTTTTATGAAGTGATAATATTCACTTCCAATATCCATTTTTAGTCTATTGTGGTATTTGGTATAAGATATTTGTCAAAACCCATTCAAAGAATAATCATAGTATAAAACATACTTAATGCTAAAACTTCACTAAACATAATCTTTCTTAGGGAATCTGGAGACATTTCAGGATTATCATTATGAATATTAATTATTGTTGTATAGTAGGCAAGTAAATATACTAATCAATAGAGCTCTGTTTGGTAGAATTTTGGATTAACCAACTTCCACCATACATATGCTGTATATGTGAAGCTAAAGTTCATATTAGCTTCAGAGTTTAACTATCAGTAAAGGGACAAAATGTTCTGTTCTCAGCAGAATTTTACCATAACCCAAACCCAGAAAAGCTCTCAGTTCATGAAAACATGATAACGAAGGTGGTTGATATCAAGTTCAGACAGCTAATGTTAATCTAGCCACAGGTTAGAAGTTAGCTTTGAAAGTGCTCATAGTGGGTACTTAACATATGTAGGAAACTTAAATGATGTTTTTCCCTGGAATCCTGAATCTTATTGTATCTATATCATTATACAGAAAGTAGTCTCCTGGGGGCAGAGACTACATTGTGTGTCTGTCTAGTAAAATTCCTAGTACAATATAGACCTGCCAATAAATATTAAAAAACAAGTGTAGCTACTGATAAAATCCCATCTCAACAGCAGTGATAAACGTCTCATGTGGCTATGGTTCTCACTAATTGGCAGCCTATGACTGAGTTTTGGCAATTTAGAAAGTGGTTTCTTTATAAAGTTCAGATCCACTCATCTCTCTACTATCGTCTCCATCCCAATTCTAGCCTAATTATAAACCTCTCCTGTCTTGAGCTAACCAAAACAAAGATGTCACTATGGTTTCATCACCTTTTAATTTAAAATCATGCCACGTGCAATTTGGGTAGAGGGGTGATGTTGGGGGACATAAGAGCAATAGAATTAAAGAACTGTTAGAGTTCTTTAACTCTATTGGTCCACTACTGATTTGCTTATGGCAGGTTAGGTGGTGTACTTAAGTCAGGACCTGAGTTTAAATGTGGCCTCAGATACGTACTACTTGTGTGACCCTAAGCAAGTAACTTAACCTTGTTTGCCTCAGTTTCCTCATCTATAAAATGAACCAAAGAAGGAAATGGCAAGCCACTACAGTATCTTTGCCAAGAAAACCCAACTGGGGTCATGAAGAGTTGGACGTGACTGAAATGACTGAAATAACAACAACAATAAAAACTGATTTGCTTTGTGACCTTTAGCAAAACACTAAACCTCTCTGTGCTTCATGTTTAACAGAATCAAGTGGGATGAAGGATTGTGAAGATGAAATGCTTTGATATGCAAAGCAGATATTTAATTCCCTTGCTGAAGCCAGTTAACTTCTAGTCCCATGGTACTTTTATTTTCCTGCATGACTTAGGGTCAGCCCAGATTGTGTTCTGGTTAAGTAACTATTCAGAAACTAGTAGGGGTCACCTAAGAAGGAAGAACTTCATTTCTAGTTTCCTTGACTGGAGAAAACAGCCCTCCTCCTGCCTAGGGCAGATTCTTCACAGTTCATATTTTGCAAACAAGATCATTTTCTGTAACAAATGGAGGTGGGTGGGACAGCGTCAGTACAGATAAGCTAAACTTTCTGTCTCCTTGATAAGTGAGCTTAATTCATGACCAGGTCACTAGTCCACTTGGGAAGTGACCCAAGCAAGCTCTTAGATAAGTAGAAACTAAGAAAGCAGAGGAAAATGTTTTTGCCAACTGTTTCTTCTTGGCCTTTTGGCTAAGATCAACTGTTATGTTCTCTATCTAGGGACTATCTCATGTAGGCCGGACTGGATGATCTAATAGGTCTTTTTAATTTCTAAATACTATGACTTCTATCCCCAAGTGTACGACATAGTTTATTTACACAGAAACACATTCACAGGCTTAAGGAAATGCAGAATG